TCTGCACCAGCCCTAAAGGGTAAATTCACTTTGCCAAGTAATTTGGAAAGATGGAATTACCTGCTCAAATCTGGTCCCCTCCCCCTCCCTCTTTACTTACCTTTCAGGGAACGGTCCTTCCCATCCGCCAATATGGGTGTACTATCTGTAATTGTGCCATGTATTCTGAATTTCGCTTGCAAATTATATATCATATCTCACAGAAGTGAATACACCCCTCACATTTTTGTAAATATTTTATGATATCATTCCATTGGATGACAGAGAAGAAATGACACTTTGATACAATGTAAAGTAGTGAGTGTGCAGCTTGTATATCAGTGTACATTTGCTGTCCCCTCAAAATAACTCAACACACAGCCATTAATGTCTAAACCGCTGGCAACAAAAGTGAGTAAACCACTAAGTGAAAATGTCCAAATTGGGCCCAATTAGCCATTTTCCCTCCCCGGTGTCATGTGACTCAGTGCTACAAGGTCTCAGGTGTGAATGGGGAGCAGGTGTGTTTAAATTTGGTGTTATCGCTCTCACTCTCTCACACTGTGTTATCGCTCTCACTCTCTCATACTGGTCCCTGGAAGTTCAACATGGCACCTCATGGCAAAGAACTCTGTGGATCTGAAAAAAATAATTGTTGCTCTACATAAAGATGGCCTAGGCTATAAGAAGATTGCCAAGACCCTGAAACTGAGCTACAGAATGGTGGCCAAGACCATACAGCGGTTTATCAGGACAGGTTCCACTCGGAACAGGCCTCGCCATGGTCGACCAAAGAAGTTGAGTGCACGTGCTCAGCATCATATCCAGAGGTTGTCTTTGGGAAATAGACGTATGACTGCTGCCAGCATTGCTGCAGAGGTTGAAGGGGTGGGGGGTCAGCCTGTCAGTGCTCAGACCATACACCGCACACTGCATCAAATTGGTCTGCATGGCTGTCGTCACAGAAGGAAGCCTCTTCTAAAGATAATGCACAAGAAAGCCCGCAAACAGTTTGCTGAAGACAAGCAGACTAAGGACATGGATTACTGGAACCATGTCCTGTGGTCTGATGAGATCAAGATAAACGTATTTGTTTCAGATGGTGTCAAGCGTGTGTGGCGGCAACCAGGTGAGGAGTACAAAGACAAGTGTGTCTTGCCTACAGTCAAGCATGGCGGTGGGAGTGTCATAGTCTGGGGCTGCATGAGTGTGTGTCAGAGCTATAGGGTGGGGAGGCTGTAAATGCCATATACGTGCATGCAAATCAAGGTTTTTAAGAGTCTTCCTTAGTATCCTGCAGTGTAGAGTACATAACAACATAGGGAGCTTTAGTTGTAATGAGTTGTGATGGTTTTGCTACTCCATCCAGCAGTAATAAATATATACTTTAAACTCCTGCATTCATATACCATGAACCCTCTTATCTGCTCACATATGTCATAAGCTGTGGCAGACACCATGTCCTTTTAGAGGTAACACTTCTAGAGCTGCAAATGCAAGTGAAGTATCTGACTGAATGGAAATCTATTGTGATAATTGCATTCAGCAGGAAATATCGTTTTTTTTTTTAATACAACTTTAGTCACACTCCAGTTACACAAAGTCAATGTTTCTTCCAATTATTCGGCCAAACTGATAGCAAGACAACATAAATGTATGGATCCTATACAGGAAGTTAGCAGGACTTTCGCACATTATGTTAATCGCACTAGCTGTTAAAGCAGGATATAGTTAGAAATGTTACGGCAGTCATTGATAAGAAGGCCATGTTCTGATTATATAAAAGAAAATACAACACACCACCACCCAAAAAGTGAAGACAACCAAATATAAAAGTAAGTAGCTTTTTCTACATTTAATATTAGCATAGTGAAAACGTTAGAAGCTTTGCTGTTAAAACAAAAACTGCCATAAATGTCAGTAGACACATTGGGGTTAATGTACTAGAAGAATAGAAACTGTTAGCAAATTCACTTTGCAAAGTGAAAGTTCACTGAGCTTAGAAAAAATTTAGTTGTGTTCATGTCCACCAACCAGTCGTGTTAGCAAACGTCTTGGTTTTATTATTATTATTTTTTATTTTTTTTACATTAACTCACAGAGAGAGACATAATCCAGCCCCTGTACAAAGCAATAGTCAGACCTCATCTGGTTTATGCAGCTCAGTTTGGGGCACAAGTACACAGAAAGGATGTTATGAAACTGGAGAGTGACGAGAGGGGCAAATAAACTAATGAGGCATGGAGGAGCTCAGCTATGAGGAGAGATTATCTGAACTGAATTTGTTCTCTCTGGAGAAGAGGCAATTAAGGGGTGATAGGATCACCATGAACAAGTACATAAATGATCCATATAGTGAACTTGTGCAAAGTTCACTATATGGATCAAAGTTCACTGCAAAGCACAAGGGGGCACGTTTTGCATCTGGAGAAAGAGATTTAATCTTAATCTCCGCATACGGAAAGGCTTCTTCAGAGTAAGATCTGTAAAAATGTGGGAGATCTGTAAAAAAAAAAAAAAAAGGCTACCTTAGGTACTAGTTATAACTATCTCGGTTAATTGTTTTTGAAAAAAGCTGCATGCATTCTTTTGTACACAGAATATAACAGGACATTAACATATTATAAGTAACACCAAGAGAGATTGTTGGTCCAGGGAATATCTGAATGCCTTAGGGGATCAGGAATCATTTTTTTCCCTGTTGGGATAAATTGAACCTGCACCAGCTACGATGCTAAGGGTTTTTTGTTTTTCTCTGGATCATCTGCGGGTAACTGTGGCTATAGGGTTCTATTTATCAAGGTTTTCCAATTATGTATTCAATTTAATTTCTCTATTGGTTGAACGCAATAGACTTTTTTTTTCTTCTTCAAACTAACTATTGGACACGATTAGATATTTAAAGTGACCACTCTGTTTGTTTACCATCATTCGTGTTGCAAAGTGAACATTCGCTTTGCTAAATAAACAGCCTCTACTCTACACCAAAATCTAATTTTATTATTTTCCATT